TGCTGCATTAAGTAGTTTCTGATGTGTTGCTATTACTGTTAGTGCTACAGAGGATAATATTGTACATTTAATATTTGTGAATCTATCTACAGGATAGATTTCCAGAAGTGAGGATTGCTGGGTTTCTATCAGTTTTCTGATTCTAAGGTGACTGTGTCCTACTTTTAGCTCCACATTAAAGTAGAACATTTCTAGGCTGGGTGCCATGGCTCATGCTTGTAATCTCAGCACTTTGGTGAGCCAAGGTGGGAGGATTGTTTGAGGCCAGGAGTTTAAGACCAATCAGGGCAACATAGTGAGACCCATCTCTACAAAATGTTTAAAGAATTAGATGAGCATGATGGCGCACACCTGTAGTCCTAGCTATTCAGGAGGATCGTTTGAACCCAGGAGGTCAAGGCTGCAGTGAGCTATGATGGCACCACTGCACTCCATTCTGGGCAACAGAGTGATACCCTGTCTCAAAGTAGAAAATTTCTGTGGAGTAGAATAAGTATCATTAGCTGATCTAGGCAGCACCTATTAGTGTTGTGGCTGTTGGAGGTGTGGAGGAGGTGATGTTCTAGAACAAGCTTGTCCAACCCCGCGGGTCTTATGCTCCCCAGGACGGCTTTGAATGTGGCCCAACACACACATTCGTAAACTTCCATGAAACATTATGAGATTTTTTGGCAATTTTTTTTTCTTTAGCTCATCATCTGTCATTAGTGTTAGTGTATTTTACGTATGGCCCAAGACAGTCCTTCTTCCAGTGTGGCCCAGGGAGGCCAAAAGATTGGACACCCGTTTTAGAAGAATAAACTGGTGGTAGCATCCAAGTTATTTGAAAGACTTGCTTCTGAGGAGGAGTGTAGTAATTTGTGGTAGACCAATGCTGCTGTTGAGAACAGCTAGAAAATCGGGTAAATACAGAAAATAGTAATTTTATGTTATTTAAGAGCTATAGAAACAGCTATGACAAAGGATTGAAATGTACAGAAATGCCAGATAAACCTTTCAGAGGTTACTTGAGGATTTGTGACTGTGTTTCCCTAAGGAGAAGCTGCAGCTGAGAATGCAGTTTTGGCCTAGGCTAAGCAATACAGCTGGGGGGCAGTAGATGTTTTGGGGGTCACACAGGACTGGAGTAACAAAACCCATTGGACACTGAACTGAAAGTCCAGGAGGGACATATCTTCGATTCAGTGGCTAACCCTGGAGAGGGACTGCTTCCCCTTCATAGCAGAACAAAGGGTGAACCCATTCTTAATGCAAGATAACATCGTTTTGTGCCTGTGTGATTCTTTTATATACAGTGTCCAGTATTCGGTACAGCATTCCTAGTCCTATGAAGACAGAGAAATTAATGACTTAACTAAAATAATCATTTTAGAAGCAGATTCTCAGGTGGTCCTGATGTTGGAGTTAGCACATAAGGACTTTAATTAGGGAATTGAACAATGAGAATACTTGGACACAGGAAGGGAAACATCACACACCGGGGTGTGTTGTGGGGAGGGGGGAGGGGGAGGGATAGCATTAGGAGATATACTTAATGTAAATGACGAGTTAACGTGTGCAGCACACCAACATGGCACATGTATACATATGTAACAAACCTGCACGTTGTGCACATGTACCCTAGAACTTAAAGTGTAATAAAAAATAATAAATTTTAAAAAAGATTAATAGCTTAACTACAGTGAGCTACCACTTCATACCCAGTAGGATGACTAAAATAAAAAAGACAGATATAACAAGTGTTGTTAGAATATGGAAAAATTGGAATCATACTGTTGGTGGCACAGCTGCTGTGAAAAGAGTTTGGTAGTTCCTCAAGAAGTTCAACATAGGCTGGTCCAAGTGCAGTGGTATTTACAACTAATTGATCACAACCAGTTACAGATTTAGTTGTTCCTTCTCCACTCCCACTGCTTCACTTGACTAGTCTTTGAAAACAAAGAAAAGAAGTTCAACACAGTTGCTGTATGGGCCAACTGTTCTACTCTGAGGTGTATACCAAAGAGAAATGAAAACATACTTTCATTCAGAAACATGCTCATACATGTTCATTGTAGAGTGGTATTACTCTTAATAGCCAAAAAGTGTGAACAACCCAAATGTCCATTAGTTGCATAGATAAGCAAAATGTGCTATATTGATACAGTGGAATATTATTCAGTCATAAGAAATGAATTATTATTCTGCTATATGCCACAAGGTAGATGAACCTTGAAAACATTATGGTGATTCAAATAAGCCAGACACATAAGGACAAATTTTGCACGAATACAGTTGTATGAGGTATCAAGAACAGACAAATCCATTGAGACAAAAAGTAGAATAAGTTACCAGGGGATGGGAAGTTACTGTTCCATGTATATAAGACTTCTGTTTGGGATAATGAAGAAGCTCTGAAAATAGATATCAGTGATGTTTGTACAGCATTGTGAAATGTACTTAATGCCACTGAATTTTACACTTAAAAATGAAAATGATAAATCTTTTTTACTCTCAATAAAAGATACATGTTAAAAAAAAAAGGGGATGAACTACTGGTACATGCTGTGACACATGGATGAATCTTGAAAACTTGATGCTAAGTAAAAGAAGCGGCTCACAAAATACCACTTATTGTATGAAAATATTTATCTGAGATATCCAGAATCAGCACATCCATAGAGTAGACTAGTTGTTGTCCAGGCCTGGGAGGCAAGAGTAGGATAGCTAGAGAATGGGATTTGACTGCTAGCAGGTATGGAGTTTCTTTTTGGGGTAATGAAAATGTTCTAAAATTTTATTGTGATAATTACACAACCTTCTGAATATACTTTAAAAGCACTGAATTGTACATTTTAAGTGAGTGATTTGTATGATTTGCAAATTATATATCAGTAATTATTAATAAGCTTAGATAATAGCAATGAAGAAATAATACGTATTAATGGACAATTAGATGGAAATTGTTATCTGAGGAAAGAAAGTGTCTAAAACCATATATAATTGGAGTCATAGATCATAGAAAAGAGGGTATTAACCAATATTTGAAATGGTATTGACTAAAATTTTCCAAAATTGATTAAAGATTTAAGGGTGTCTGTGAATCCCAAGTGGGATAAATACAAATTAAACCATTCCTAGGTACATCATAGTAAAACAGCTTAAAACTGAAAACAATAATAAAACTTTTAAAACAGTCACAGGGGGAAAAATAACACCCTATCTTCAAAGAAACAATATAAAACTAATAGCTAGCTTGTAATCCCAGCTAGTTGAGAGGCTGAGGAGTGAAGATTGCTCGAGCCCAGGAGTTCAAGACCAGCCTGAGCAACGTATCTAGATGTCCATGTCAAAACAAAAATAAAAACTGATAGCTGACCTCTCAATAGGTTGAATGAAGGAGGGAAGTAGATCACTTCGATTGTTACAGTAGTTTACACCTGAGCCAGGCATTGCAAGGAGAGATGGATGGATTGTATTTTCTTCATTTGTCGCCTCACTGATAGATGTTAGCCGTTCTTTAAATATGCATCATTAAAAATAATTTTTAATATTAGATGAGTATAGATATTTTTTGTTTTGCATATGGCTCAGGAGGTGCTCAACTAATTGATATAAGAAGACAAACTTATTCTAGTCTCGTCTACTTATGTGAATAAGATTTCTCAGGGCAAAGACATAAATTTATACAAATAAAAGAAATTAATCTATGCTGATTCCTGGATTTATAATTGGGAGGAAAAAAGTTTCATCCACTCCACTACGAGTTGATACATTCAGTAAAATTTTACACATACATATATTTTATGTATGTGTATGCACAATATAATTGTTTGGATTATTTGTATACTTAACATTTGGATAGCTCAATCCTTGGAAAACAATACTTGTATTTTATAAGCACAAGAAATTTCAAAATCCCGAATTTAAATTTATTTACATATATTTTTAGAGAAGTAGGATAAAAAATAAATGTAAGACTTTCAAGCATAAAAATACAATATACTGCTGGGTGCACTGGCATGCACCTATAGTCCCAGCTACTCAGGAGGAGTCCAGCCTGGACAATATAGATGGTGAGACCTTGTCTCAATTTTTAAAATTTTTTAATTTGTGTGTGTTTCTGTCTCAGTTATTTTTTAAAAAACAACAATATGCTGTGTTTACATTGTTATCAGGAGCTAGGTGCAGTGGCTTATGCATATAATCCTAGCACTTTTTTGGGAGGCCGAGGCACGTGGATCACCTGAGGTCAGAAGTTTGAGACCAGCCTGGCCAACATGGCGAAACCCCATCTCTGCTAAAAATGCAAAAATTAGCTGGGCATGGTGGTGGGCACCTGTAATCCTGGCTGCTCAGGAGGCTGAGGCAGGAGAATGGCTTGAACCCGAGAGGCAGAGTTTGCAGTGAGCCAGGATGGCACCATTGCACTCCAGCCTGGGGGACAAGACCAAAACTCCATCTCAAACTAAAGAAAAATTTGTATCAGGAAAATGAAATCGAGATACAAATTCTCTACTGGTTAGGAAGAATTCATGTATAGTTTTTTTTAAATGCATGATGGTATATATATCATCATTATGGAATGTAGGTTATATTGGATACATTTTAAAGAGTGAAATAACCATTTTAATATATTAATCATAAAAGTTTTAAATGTTAACATAAGTTTCCAAGAATTTAACAGTTTTTCAAAAGTATTTTAACAGATTTCTGAACAAAATATTTTAATTATCATTGCCAAGGTCAGCACTAGGGTGAGGCAAGAAGGCACCTAGAGTGCAAAATTGAAGGAGATTCTTACTCTCAGGGCTCTGCAAGTACAGCATCAGCACTTAGGGGTACCTAACAGTGAGTGCCTCCCTAAATTAGGCACCCTAGGATGCTTGCTCATCCTAGTTCCAAACCTGGTCACTAGATTATTTAACATAAGAAATTCGCATGTGAATAATTGGCTTTAGAAAAAAATAATTGCAAACATCAATCATTTTTCCATCAACTGCTTTTAATTTGTTTTTTAGGGTGGGATTAAAAACTCAGCCTGAATCAAAATGCCCTGAGCTGCTTGCCAATTACTGTGACATGTTGCTAAGAAAAACACCATTAAGCAAAAAACTAACCTCCGAAGAGATTGAAGCAAAGCTTAAAGAAGTGGTACATAATGTTTTGTATTTCAACTTTTAAAACTACCTTACTTTGAATTTGTGTTTTGCTTACAGGACTTCCTGTGATAGTATCAATTTAAAAATGTATTATGTGTAAAGAACTAGTGTTATGAAGTTTTACAGTGCAAGACCTCTAAGGGGGGTTATTTTTCTTTCTGAAAATGTTTATTCTACAGCTTCTTGAAGGGAATACCATTTAATTCCTCTCCTTTCTTGATTATTTTTAGAAATTAAGTTCTGGCTACTAATACAAGACATATCTTTCCAACAAATTTGGAATGATAGTTGAGAGATTGGGAATTTTTCACTCCTTCCTTTTGGTGAGAGTCCAAGATAGATAGCAAGGGATGAGTGAGAGGAGATTAAGTAGTTGCTTTCATCTTTGTCACCCAGTTGTTAGTGTAATGATATAAGCCCAGGAATACAAACAAGAAAAAAAAATAAGATATTGGGCAAGTGTAGACAGAAAGGCCCAGAGAGATAATTAGTGTCAGAAAAAAATGTGGAAAAGATAAGTAGAAGAGACACTTGCGGGGGGAGAAAAAAACATTGATTTTTTTCATGTAAAGTATATCGTTGCATTTTATATAAAATCTAAAAAACTGATATTTAGAGCAACTACAATTTTATTTGGTTATAGTCTCAATTTTGCTAACTTTTAAAGTAGTGTATCAAGACTGGGTGTTTCTCAGAGATGGATAATTTAGTAGGCCTCTATCTATATGCTTATAAAAATTTCTGACTTGTGACAGTTGGTGGATATAGGAAGGTCTAAATTCGAGAGATGACTAAGAGTATATAAGAACTGAA